AGCGGCTCACTGCAGGGCCTGACGGGGGTCTCCGTCTCCAATCCCAGGGTCTCTGGCACTCTGATTCATACCAACGTACTGTGCACCTCCAGCCCTCTGTACCCAGCCCACCACCCAGCCCACATAGGTGACAAATTATAGAGATTTGCTGAGCAAAGCAAAGGCATCAGGCTAACAACCCAGGGATAAAAACGAGGATAGGAAAGTGGCAAGGAAGGGGGCGTGAGGGCGAAGGGAAGGGCCTCCCTGCAGACGACCAGGAAGCGAGGAATCGGCCTCCACCTGGGGGCCACATCCTCTCCCGCTCATTTTTAACCGGATATTTATTTAACAAGCTTGTCCATACCCAGCAGCGTGAACACTGTGGCCAGAGTTACAGGCAAGTAACTGCACCAGCTGCTCGTCTCAGGGCTCCTGACCCAGTGCCCCTCCTGCCACGTGCCTGACTCCTAGGGGCCTCCTCATCTTTGCACATCCCCCCCCCCCCCCCCAAACTCCCAGCAGGCAGGAGCACCCACAGGTGGAGGCAGGTGTGCAAAGCTGCGCTGGATTAAAGCAGCCAGCGTCCTCATAAGGAAGCCCTCTCACGGCGGCAGCATCGAGGAGGGATGCCAGGCCGCACCTGCACAGGTAACACGGGGGGCTGGAGCTGGCCGCGGGCAGCAATGTTGCACCTGTGTCTTTATAGGGCTGTTCTTTTTTTATAGTTGATTCCACCTATTATTCTACACGGTGACATCATCCTGCAGATTGCAAGTTAGAGCAAAAAATAATAATAATTAAAAAAGAAAAAACAGTTGTAAGACAGCATCTCTGGAAATAAGAACAAAATTAGGAAAAGAAATCAATAAGAAACTAAGCAGACGGTTGTGTTCTAGGGGAACTGCTGCTTAACATGCGATTTCACAACTCCCAGGTGCTCACACTTCGAGGGTGGAACTTCAGTTGATTTAGGATGAAAAAGAAAGGTTTCTTCTCTCATCCTTCCATTGTACTGATTGACTTATTTTTGTCCTAAAAAGATTTTCAAACCCTATTGGTTCATCTGTCAGCTGCTCTCAGAATAACTGCCACCCTCATGACCACAGCAAAAATTCCCGATTCCTTTTAGTTAAAAATACCTTGTGTGAGCAACGTCCCCCCAGCAAGAGACGTGAATCAAAAGATGCGCCACGCAGACTGGAGGCCTCGTTCCACACAGACCACAGGCCTCGTTCCACGCAGACCACAGGCCTCGTTCCACGCAGACCAGGAGGGCCTCGTTCCAGCACAGGACACGGCCTCGTTCCACGCAGACCCACAGGCCTCGTTCCCACGCAGACCAAGAGGCCTCGTTCCCACGCAGACCAGAGGCCTCGTTTCCACGCAGACCACAGGCCATGTTCCACGCAGACCACAGGCCTCGTTCCACGCAGACCACAGGCCTCGTTCCACGCAGACCAGAGGCCACGTTCCACGCAGACCACAGGCCTCATTCCACGCAGACCACAGGCCTCGTTCCACGCAGACCACAGGCCTCGTTCCACGCAGACCAGAGGTCATGTTCCACGCAGACCAGAGGCCTCGTTCCACACAGACCAGAGGCCTCGTTCCACGCAGACCACAGGCCATGTTCCACGCAGACCACAGGCCTCGTTCCACGCAGACCAGAAGCCTCGTTCCACGCAGACCACAGGCCACGTTCCATGCAGAGCTCCACATACTTGTGCTCCTTCTACTCGCAGGAAGGCGTCCCGAGCAGAAGCCACCACAGATGGAAAACACGCGTGTGCGGGCCGCAGCTACTCTGACCCACTGGGCCCACGGACGGGGCGGGGCACTGACCTGCTCTGTCTCCACGAAGTTGGACACGTAGCCATCGTCGTTCACGCCGCGGGTGTGGAAGCGGGCGCCGGCGCGCTCGCAGCTGATGCGGGGACGAGGCAGTGCCTTGCCCCCCTGCTTGCGCGGGCGACAGCGGTCGGATGGCCCACCGCCCCGCAGATCACCTTCAGCAGCCAGTCGCAGCAGCGCACCTGGTGCTGCCTCAAGGGCACGTGCAGCAGCTGGTTCCTGCAAGACGGAGAACACCGGTTCAGCTCACCTGAACCAGTGAAGGCGGGGGCTGGCGCTCTGGGTCAGCGCGGGGCGAGCGCGCTCTTTCCCCAGGAGCCGGCACGCGGAGGCTGGGGTCTGGGGAGCGCTGGGACTCTGGCCTTGGACCCCTCCTGCACAGGGAAGCCAGGCTGGGGCCCAGGACCAAGAACCCCAAAAGGGGCTGCTCCCGCAGAGGTGTGTTCCTGGGCTGGAGGAGAGGACTGCCGGGACAGGGGCCGGCCCCTGATAGGTAGGGAGTGGGGAGCAGCACCTACTGTAAAGATTGTCTGCGAGGGACCTTACTGGGTAGGTACTGCCAGGCGTCACGCCACTTGCTGGATGGTCTCCTCCGCCGCAGGTTCCGGCTGGATCAGGGGCACCGCGATGTCTGACCTGCCAAGCAGTTGCTGAGGTCTCAACGGGAGTCATGGGTGCCTGTGGGGGACCAGGCATCAGGACCACCCTGTCCTCTGCTGTGTTGTGTAGAGACATGCACAAAGCCCTCATGCCACCTGCCTGGAATCGCGGAGAGGCAGTGACGGGCTTTAGAGATGCTGCGTTAACGGGGCGCGGCTTCGGCAGGAGGAGGAGGCAGCTGAATGCCTGTTGGAGGAGCATGAGGGAAGGAGGATGTGGCAGGACAGGGGGACGGGGCCGCGGGTGTACGCGTGCAGGGGACGGGGACAAGGAAGTCCTTCACCCAAAGCCACCACCAGGAGGCTGTCACTGTCGGGACGAAGCCTGTAGGGACAACG